GATCAATCAGCCGTATATTGTTTAAAAAAATGACCATTGATATTTTACGATTCCGGAGAGGGAGCCTGAAAATCAGCTACCAAGCCCAAGGCAGTAGGCGCGCAAAGGAGAGTTACAAATAAGGCAGCAGGAGCGCGTGTTATACCTATTTCAAATGAAGAAATACATGTACAGAGTTCGAATTATATCAAGGAGGTTACGTAGCGCCATCTGCCTGCGAATAGATCAAGCAATAATGTCGATATATTAGAGGTTACGTACAGCGCCATATGCCCGCGAATAGATCAAGCAATAATGTCGATATGTGAGAGGTTACGTACAGCGCCATCTTCCCGCGAATGGATCAAGCAATAAAGTCGATAATTATGTCAAATACAGATCCCGAGCTTGAGAGTTACAAACAAACATACATACATACAGGTGAAGCTAATAAAAGCGTGTTGAATAAAAATTGTATTAGGACATTTACAAAAATGAGATATGTTTCTCCTGATGCCCGATTCGAAAAAAAGCTGACTGTACAAATTCAATTTTCAATGTTGTTTATAGTTTCCATTCCATTTCCATCATTCACAGGCGGCTTGGAAAACTCTGATGAGATATTTTTTGTTGAATCTGTCTTTAAGAATAACATGTCTCAAATCTTGTAGGTGTTCATTCAATTTTCGATAATACGATATCTTAAAATTTCCCATTTCATTTCCACCACCTCACACGGTCATGTAGATGTATAAAGTCGAGACTTATGAATTTTTCAAATATTTCCACCCATTATTTAGACGGCTTGGAAAAGAAAGTTCCTTTCATTACACTATGACAATCAAGAGTCGTTAAAAAAGAAAGTTAAAATTTCAGCATTTTTCTCGGTGCATTTTGTGGCAAGGTTCAATATTGGAGCCATTGCTTTTTNATCAAGAGTCGTTAAAAAAGAAAGTTAAAATTTCAGCAATTTTCTCGGTGCATTTTGTGGCAAGGTTCAATATTGGAGCCATTGTTTTTTATTATACACACAAGTGATATATTAACCTTGGTGAAATACTGCTTATGCAGATGATACCCAAATATATTCAAGTTTAAATGTAAAAAATTGTCTATCAGGTCAAAATCATATCAACAGTGAACTCAGATCAACAAATCGCCAAGCAGCTGAAAATGAGTTAAAACTTAATTAGAATAAGCCTCTGGAGACACCCTACTTTTTTTTGTAAGAGAGAGGCCATTGGTAGATCAAGATCTTTAGATGATGTGGTGCTGCAGGTTTTTCCGGGTTTCCCTGCAGCTGAAAAAGCAAATGCTACTGGAATCAAAGAAGTCGCCCCGGAGCGCCAATTAATTTTTATTGTTGTTTTTTATTTTTATTGTTGTTATAATCAAATATCCGGTTCAGTGTTATCTAATCCTATTTGGCAATAAACATATCACACGGAATCTGTCACAAAACATCAATATTGAAATGGGTAATACCATGGTATCAATTGTTGAATCTACAGAAACTTTTAATTCTGATTTGAAATTTATTCCCCATGTTAGTTTATTAAAGAAATATTACAATAGTTTGAGGCTGATTTACGCCCATTGAATAATTCAATTCATAAATTGCTCACTGAAACCTTGGTTCTTTCGAGATTCAGTTATGTGGATGTTGTCTATGGAAACCTACTTACAAAATTTGAGCAAAGTCGCATAGAAAGTATAACATTTTGGTTGTCGGATTAACGGGGTCTCTCAGTCAAAAAATCAAAAATCAAATATTTATTCTACTTTGCCAAGCTTTCGCTTCTGATGGGAAGCTTCTTCAGGGCATATAATTTATTGAGTTGTTGGTTTTTTTTTGCCATCGAAAAACATTACAATTCATACTCACGGTAAAAATGAGTTGAAAACAATGAATTGAACATATAAACTGACGGAGAAGGTTGAACATGTATAAGATTATTTTGGGTTTGACAAATGTCATACCTTCACATAAATGTACAACCGGTGAAACAATAGTCAATTACAAAATTACCTGTGAATGACGTAATTTCCGTTTGAATCATGCATTGTTCAATTTAATTCGATTCTCGTTTGATGAGTGTGAATCGCAATCCAACTTACTGTGACTAGAATTGTAAAATTATTTATTGAAGACGGCAAACAGTGAAGAATTGTGTGTTTGTTCATCAGCGAATAAGTAATCTTGTCGAGACAAGCCTCTATCTAATACATTTATGCAAATGAGGAAATGGGAGTAAATAGTATTATTTATGGTAGATTGTACCAAACTGCCAATAATCCTTGTACATTGTTGAATAGGTCTAGTTATTATCATAGGAAGGAACATGGTTTCTAATGGAAATAAACTATTTGGTATTCTCCACACAACATGTGTAGAAAAAGATTTTTCAACAGTTTGAATGTGAATAATTACATGAATGGAAAAATGTGAAAATTGACCTTCGATCACATTTTATCATCTTCTCAAACACCAGGTAAAAATGGAATCTCTAGCGTAGAATAAATCCATAACAAGCACTTTTTTCATTCACCAAAAAATTTAATACTTTTCTCGACGCGTGTTCCACCAATCAAGTTGGGATCTTCTGGAGATGGGGAAAACAGCCTTACACATAGATTGCGCTAGTCTTATTGCATTCACCGCTTTTTCAGTTAGTTCTAACCTTCAAAAGAAAGCTGTTGAAATTTCATGTTATTCTACTTATAACTACGTGAATTATTGTGCTAAAAGTTCCACTACTTTTGTCATCTTCAAAACAATGGATCAAAACAATTTCCTGTTTTAATTTTACACTTTTTCTTGATGAGGAACAATACCGTTTAAGCGAAGCAATAGTTTGGAATGTGCTATTAGGACTCCGCTCCATCATAAACAACAATGGGCTTGTTTCATGATTTTTGGTTTATAGTTCACTTGATTTTGAATTGAAAAATAGTGCACTTTGTTTTACCTCTCTAAATACCGTAGTTTTCCCGTAATCAATTATTAAAGATCGAATGTGGTAGGGTGGTACGTC